CTTAGCGCCTCACTGTTGCTGAGGCTGGCTTTGAACTCGCGATCTTCCTGCCTCAGCTTTCCGAGCCACTGGGATTACAGGCGTGCCCCACTGCATCCAGCTAATTTTGTTCTTCACTAGGGCTTTTTTTCCTGTCTTTCTCTGACTATAGTAGAGTCCCTGGTATACAACAAAGATTATTAAGATTAACAAGGTCCTTAGAGATTATTTTGAATAAAATAAATAAAATCACGAGTTTTATTTTTAAAAGATTATAGTCTTTCCCCATTTATAATGCTGAACAATGGCCACACCCATTGCCCCATCTGACAACTGGACAAAGGGTTTTTAATTCACAGCAGGTTTTAATTCCTACAGGCTGACTTCACTGAAGAAACATTATTTTGGAAAACTGGAAGCTTCAGGATGCCGATTATCCTCTTGTCTCTATTTTAAGCAGCACACAGTATATAAATTATAAATGCCTACTTTGCTACAAGATAATGTACCACTAAAGAGCAGGCATTAATGTGGAGAAGTTAAACACTCATGGGCCAAGAGGATCAAGGTAATGATTCCCAACGTGCCTTTACTTACAGCCACAGCCAGGGCTGGGTTTTGGCACGAAGGGGCTGTCTGCAAGTGGGATGGGCAATGCACTGCAAGAAAAGCTGCCAAGGGAAGATGAGTGAATTTCCCAACTTGGGAGTTTAAATCCTCAACATAATATCATATTAATGCAGTTTTCCTGMATTCCCTTCTACTTCTTTGTTTTGTTTGGGGTTTTTTTTGTTTATTTTTAATTTTTTCTTAATTGTAGATGGACACAATATCTTTTTTTTAAAATTTGTTTTCATTTTTATGTGGTGCCAGGGATCAAAACCAGTGTCTCACTCATGCTAGGCAAGCACTGTACCACTGAGCCACAACCCTGCCCCCTACTTCGGCCCCTACTTCTTCATTTTTAAAATGCAAAACTATCTTTGTTGAATGCAAAGACAATGTCTTTGACCCCATGGAGCTTGCAATAAAGTGAGGAGGAGGGAAAGAATTTTCATAACAATTCAGAATGCCCTACTTAGGGGGGTTTCCTACTTATATTTTTAACTTTGGTGTGAAGAATCTCAGACTGTCAGGGTTGAAAATGAGCCTGAGTAATTAACTATCACAGACCCAGCCCCTTTTGTACAAATAAGGGAACTGAGCCACAGATTATTTGGCAGGCTGACAAAAGCAGACCCTGGCCTTTTTCACGGTGACTCAAGGTAGGCAAACCCCCAGTCCCTCGAGCACCTCTTTCCCTATTCTGTGGTCCTCCTTTCTTCTTGCTTTCCACCTTGTTTAGAAAGTGACCAGTGTCTGAAATGACACCCATTCTCAGAAGAGTCAAATGTGGCTCATCTACAGCTTCATGTGAATTAAGTCCCCTGGTTACTCTCATTTATTTTTACAGTTAGTACTGCAGAGCACACACGCTATGTGCCAGCACTGTTGGACATCGGGACTACAAAATGATACAAGCAGGATGCATGCAAGAGAAGCAGGGGAGAACTCAGGTCCGAGAAGACTTAAAGAACAAGCGAGAGTTCATGAGGTAGGGAAGGAAATACACGTCTTAAAAAAAATCATAATTGTGCTGGGCGCGGTGCACACACCTATAATCCCAATGACTCCCAATGAGGCTGAGGCAGGAGGATCGTAARTTCAAAGCCAGTCTCAGCAAAAGTGAAGTGCCAAGCTAGTCAATGAGACCCTGTCTCTGAATAAAATACAAAACAGGGCGGGGATGTGGCTCAGTGGTCCAGTGCCCCTGAGTTCAATTCCTGTGCCCCTCCACCCCAAAAAATCATGATTGCTACAGGAAACTGCAAGTCATTTGCTGGAGCTGAAACCAACAGCCAGGCTCTGGAAGAGGCATGGTGGAAATAGTGCTTAATGCCCAACCAGGTGACTTGACTTCAGCCAAATTCCATAGAGGCTTTGAGGACTTGGGCAGAGGAGTGACAGGGTCAGATCTGCATTCTGGATGTGTTCTGACAACAGGAGAGATAATTAGTTGGAGGAAGGAGCCTAAATCATGAAGGACAGAGCGAAAGCCATTCCTACAATGGGAAAGGTGGTGGGAGGGAGAAAAGACAGTCTGAGAAATGGAAAGCGAGCAGTCACAGAACTGGTGCCTGAACRGGGACTAAAGGAGAAGGAATCAAGAGGGACACCTGCATTTCTAGCTCAAGCACCAGATGGTTCCACTAAAGGAGAGATGGAATACAAGAGAAACAGCAAATTTGAGAAAACAGATGAGCAATTAAGTTTTAGACAAGATAAATTAAGCTGCCTGAAGAAACCAGGAAGAGATGCCTTAAATAAATTTGATTTAAAGCCTCCATTTATAAAATAACATGTTTGAGGCTGAGGYGGGAAGATTTTTTGAACCCAGGAGTTCAAGGTTAGCCTCGGAAACACAGTAAGACCCTGTCCACCCTCCCCCCAGAGTAATAAAATAGAAAGTTCTGTCTTTAAGCAATTAAATTTTCTTATGGTCTGGAGTTGTAGCTCATGGTAGAGCATTTGAATAGCATGCACTAGGCTGAGATTTAATCCCTACCAAGGACAAGGACATGGAGGAAAAGTTGTTTTCTGTTTGGCTAAATCTAACCTCAACATGTTATTACCTACCCAAAGTTGTTTTTGGTTTTTGTTTTGGTTTGGTTTGGTTTTGGTACCAGGGATTGAACCTAGGGGTGCTTACCTGCTGAGCTACATCCTCAGCCCTTTTTATTTTGAAACAGGGTCTCAGTTACCTAGAGCCTTGCTAAATTGCTGAGGCAATAGGAGAATTGCAATTCTCCTATCTCAGACTCCCAAATCGCTGGGATTACAGATAAGCACCACCATACCGGGCTGATGTTGTACTTTTCAATATGCCCTTCCCCAAATGTCTGAGGCTTGCTCAGTCTTCCTGATTTGAGTCTCCAGTTCTTTACAGACAAAAGCTGTTGGTCATAGATACTGTAGGTTTTCAGGATCCTTGAGAAGGGAGGTATTTGGTTATGAATGGTTACGAATGATGTGGGCTGACTTGAC